GAGTAATGATGCTGAAAATACAGCTGCGCATCACAGAAATAAATGACAGTTTAACAGATATTCACATAGAAAACAGATATTTTAAATTATAGAAATATTAAAAAAATTGTACTGTATTTTTTATCAAATTAATGCAGCCTTGGTGAGCAGAAGATACTTAAAAAAAAAAAAAACATTTAAAAATAATGTTTCCAAACTTTTTCAGCACAGGCAGGAATACATCATTTAGAACTGGACTAGATGTCCAAATAAACACTAGAAGTGTGAATCAGCTTTGTGTCTCTGGTTGTTTATAGATGTGTGTTTGTGTGTGTGATGTGTTGTTTAGAAGCCGGATCTAAGCTGAGGAGACTGGAGGCTCCTGATCTGGGTTTGGTGTCGATGAAGCGAGCTGCGGGAGCTCTGGAGGTCGGCACACCATATTACCAGGACGCACAGCTACAGGTCCGCATCTACTGGAAGAAGAGAGGAGGTACAACACGCATCAACACACACAACACACAACAACACACACATCAACAACAACACAGACAACACACACACACACACAACAACACAGACAACACACACACAACACATCAACACACTCAACAACACACACATCAACAACAACACAGACAACACACATCAACACAAACAACAACACACACAACAACACACACATCAACAACAACACACACACACACAACACACCTCAACACACACATCAACACACACACATTAACACACATCAACACAAACAACAACACACACATCAACAAACCCAGTTACACTCAACATCAGTCTAATGAACTTCCTGTGATTCATTATTTTCTGTGAATCAGTTCAAACATTTCAGTCAATCAATCAATGTACATTACAACCCTGAGTCAGTTTATATAATTCTGAGTCAGTTGACAACTCTTTTAGAATCATTTTTAGTTTAAGAATAATTATGCTGACTGTTTATTTTCAGATTTTTAGAATACATAGATGTATATCAACGTAAGTTCAGTACCCTCATTAATTAACAGCCATTAAAACCCATTTAATTTTAAGCCATTACATTTTAATGATAATTTAGAAAATAATTTTTAGATATCACATCCTAGAAAATTGGAAATAACTTTATTTATTTATATATTTTATTTATTTATTTATCATTACTATGTTTTTTCCCCCCAAAATACTAGCTGCTAAATCATTGAAATGCTGGATGACAAAATATCTTACATTTTATTTATTTAAATACTGGATAATTTTAATGAGCATTTAAATATTTATCCATTAATATTTACATAACTGACCAAATTAGGAATAAATTAGAGCATTCTATGAAATGAAGTGTTCTTTTTTTGGTCTTTTGACATGGCTCACAAAATGAATTTAATTTTTTTTTTAATATTTAATTAATATTAATATTTATTAATATTTAATATCTAAATTACATTTTTCAACTTGATTATTAATAGCATGTAATGTTTCTGGAAATAATGCATTTGCTGTATATGGGTGATCCATTAAGAAAAATAAATATATTATTAAAAACTACACCAACATTAGTGATGTTAATTTCAAATTTTAATTGCAAATGAGTCTTTTTAACTGATTTCTGAATGTGTCGGAGCGTGACGTCCACACAGTCACTGAGAACGACCTCACATGTTGTATTTCATTAGCTTGTAAGCTGAGTTTAATTGCTGGAGGGGAAATATTAAAACCTCACGCTCCTGTCGAGCCGTATTCGCTGCTCGGTGTTACGCCGCTGTGAAGCGTGTGAATGAGCGAAACCTGATGTTGATGCTCCAGTCTGGAGCTGCTGATTGTGATTCTCTTTCACAGTCTGAGCTGTTCATGTGATTCGTGCTTGTGTGTTTCTGCTGACTCAGATCCTGCTCAGAGCTTTTATTCTGCTGGACTCAAAGCAGCAGCTCAAGCTGAACTAATCTCACTTCTGCTTCAGACAGAAATCACACACTCACACTCAAGATATTCCAGCTAGAGATGTGCAGAGCGACATATGTGACCCTGGAGCACAAAAGCAGTCTTAAGTGGCTGGGGTATATTTGTAGCAATAGCCAACAATACATTGTATGGGTCAAAATACTTCATTTGGACAACTTTAAAGATGATTTTCTCAATATTTAGATTTTTTTTGCTCCCTCAGATTCCAGATTTTCAAATAGTTGTATCTCAGCCAAATATTGTCCTATCATAACAAACCATACATCAATGGAAATCTTTCAGATGATGTATAAATCTCAATTTTAAAAAAATGACACTTAAGACTGGTTTTGTGCTCCATGGTCACATATTTCATAGTTACTTGGTGTTTTTTCTTCTTTTTTTTTTTGGAAACTAGTTGAATAATCAGTGAGATGCAGGATGACATAATTGTTATAGCACAAACTAGAATAATTTAGAATAATTTATTATTTATTTGTTATTTAATTTAGTTTTTTTACAAAAAGACTTCATGGTCAGCGAGATGCAGGATGACCAAAAAAAATCTTCGACTTTTTATTGAACAAACTAAAAAAAATCAAATAGTTTAATTGCTTTATTACATTTATTTTTAAAGTTTAATTTAGTCTAATTTAGAAAAAATGACTAGCTGATAAAACGGCAAGATGCAGGATGACAAATATCTTGAACATTTCATAGTGCAAACTATCTTGACTAGAAAAAAAAAATCTCTTGAAGTTTTTGTAGCACAAACTAGAACATTTAGAATAACTTAATGTATTATTTATTATTTCATTTAATTTCAAAATGTTATTATTTAATTTAATTTAGAAACATGACTAGTTGATAAAACAGTGAGATGCAGGATGAAAAATGATTTTGAAAATTTCAGAACTTTTAGAATGATTTTATTTACTATTTCATTTATTTTTAAATTTTTGATGTGGTGTAATTTAGAAAAATTATTAATTGATAAAATAGTGAGATGCAAGATGACAGAATATCTTGAGATTTTTATAGCACTAACAAGATAATTATTTATTATATATTTATGTATGTATTTTTTATTTTGATTTTTTTTTCTAATTTAGTAAAATTACTAGTTGATAAAACTTTTTAAAGTACAAACTACAAAATTTAGAACAAGTTAATGTTTTTCGTAATTTTTTATTTAGTCTAGAAAAATGAGATGCAGGATAACAAAAATGTCTTTAACTTTATATCACAACTAGAAAATGTTCAATAATTCAGTGGATGGTTCCTCTGAATACAGCGTGCGAAGGAGCATTTTTGGTTACACTTTACTTGAAGGGGTGTGCATAAGACTGACATGACACCTTTATAATCATGACATGACACGTGTCATGAATATGTTTATGCCATTTTAATGCAATGACATTGTTTGAGATGTCTTTGTTATGGGTTAGGGTTACGTCAAACAATGTCATCTCTGTATTAAAATGGCATAACTGAGCGGATGACACTTAATGACAGCTGTCATAAACATGCATAAAAACTCCTTCATATTCATGACATGTGTCATGTCATGATTATAAAGGTGTCATGTCAGTCTTATGCACACCCCTTCAAGTAAAGTGTAACCGCATTTTTCAGTTTTCGAACGCAGCACTTGTTTATTTTACTCTGTAGTTTTTCTTCTTCTCCAGCTGCGATTCCTTTTTTCTGCTTCCAGAAATGTTCTGAGCTTCACGTCGGCTCCTTCAAAGGCTCTTTTATCTGGCCGACCGCAGTCGAGTCCCTCTGAAGGACCGGAGCCCGTCCAACTCCATTATTAATCTGAAATGTATCGTTTGACGTCCAAACGGCGCAGTTTGATGAATAATAAACGGGAGGCGTTGCATAAACACTGCTGATTAGCGCAGCGAGCCTCTACTGTTCTGTAATCGCGGCGCGGGAGGAAACTGTTCACTTTTAATAAAGAAACGCACAGGTACTTCATGACAATAAACACTAGATAGAAACCGAGAGGAACAGTTCAGACAACAATTCAAATGCTGTCATTATTTGCTCTTCATGCAACTTGAATCTTGAAATGATTTGAATGCACTTTTTTCATGCACATTTTTCTTATATTTAATTTAGTCTAATTTATAAAAATGACTAGTTGATAAAAAAGTAAGATGCAGGATGACAAATAGACAAATATCTTGAATTTTTGTAGTACAAGCTAGAACTTTTTAAATAATTAAATTTATTGTTATTTATTTATTATTTTATTTATTTTCCATTTTTTTTCTATTTAGTCAAATTTAGGAAATGACTAGTTGATAAAACAATGAGATGCAGGATGAAAAAATATCTAGAAAATTTACATTTTATTTATTATTTATTTTATTTTATAGATATATTATTCTTGTGATTTATGTTATTAAATAACAATGATTTTAATGCACTTTTTGACCACCATGTTTTCAAAATATGGTGGTAGAAAATATTAATTGAAGTGTCTGTATGTCATTTTTCATATATTAAAGTGTTTTAGTAAATATCTGTAGGTCAATATTTCGGTTTACGACTATATGTAGCGCTATAGTGCATATGTATTTTATTTATTTTTCTTTAATTTAGTCTAATTTAGATAAAAATGACTAGTTGACTAGTTCAGCGAGACGCAGAATGAAACAATATCTTTAACTTTTTAAACAAACTAGAAAATTAAAGTAATTTAATTTATTATTATTATTATCATTATTTATTATTATTAATATTATTATTTATATTTCAAATTTTTAGTCCAATTTAGAAAAATAACAATGATTTTAATTCACTTTTTTTTTTACCCCTATGTTTTCTAAACACAGTGCCGTTCGATTAGTTTTGTGGAAAAAAAATATAATAATTTCTTTCTCTTTGTATTTTATATCAATATGATACAAAATTAAACTGTTTAAAACCATGTGAAAAATTAGTTACATCAAAAGTAATCAAAAAGTAGTCTGATTATGTTACCTAAATTGTGTAATGTAATGGATTACGCCACTGACTACAATTTCTGTCTTGTAATTTGGGATCAGTAATGGATTACAATTTGAAAGTAATCTACTGTAAAAACCAGTAAAATCTCAAAGTTCAAATGATCAAGAGATGTTTTCCCACTGTTTTCACTGAATATGTGTGTGTTGTGAGATGTTTGTGTTGATGTTTGGTTTGCAGACGCTGCTGTGAACCGCTATCACGTTCAGTGGATGCCTGAATACTGCAGCTACAACCGAAGCGGAGCGCCGCAGAAATCACTGACTCAGGTTTGTGTGTTAGTGTTCATTTCTCTTCATTACTGCAGCTGATTAGCGTGTGTTGTTTCAGATGATGTGCTCAGAATGTGCTCCAGTGCCTAAGAAAACACAGGCATTAAAATCACATTTCCAGGAAGCGGGAGTGAATTTATCAAACCTCCAGAGCGGCCCCAGTGGAGCCTTAACCTGCGGCCCCGAGCCGCGCGCTTGCTGCTCGGAAACACGCATTCGCTTTCTGCTTCATGACTGAAAAACTACATTTTTACCTTTTCCAAAGATAATGGGATCGTTGTTTGCTTGTTAAATGTCATTGATGAGTGTTGTGGTTGCTAGGGGAAAGCTCGAGTGTTGTGGGTGGTTGCCAGGGTGTTGCTAAGGTGTTATAGGTGTTGCTATGCAGTTATTAAAGTGTTCTAGGTGGTTGCTAGGATGTTGCTCTGGGGTTATGTATTCTGGTTGGTTGCTATGTAGTTTCTAGGGTGTTCTGACTGGTTGCTAGGCTATGGGGTTGCTAAGATGTTCTCGGTGTTGCTATACAGTTTCTAATGTTTTCTGTCCTGGGTGGCTGCTAGGGTGTTACTATGCAGTTTCTAAGGTGTTCTGACTGGTTGCCAGGACATTGCTATGGGGTTACTAAGGTGTTCTAGGTGTTGCTATGCAGTTTCTAAATTGTTCTGGGTGGTTGTTATAGTGTTCAAGCTGGTTGCTAGGGTGTTGCTATACAGTTTCTATTATGTTTTCTGTGCTGTGGGTGGTTGCTAGAGTGTTGCTATGCAGTTTCTAAGGTCTTCTGACTGGTTGCCAGGACATTGCTATGTTCTAGGTGTCGCTATGCAGTTTGTAAATTGTTCTGGGTGGTTGCCAGGATGTTGCTCTGGGGTTGCTATAGTGTTCAAGCTGATTGCTAGGGTGTTGCTATGCAGTTTCTAAGGTATTCTGGGTGGTTGTCAGGACATTGCTATGGGGTTGCTAAGGTTTTGTAGGTGGTTGCTAGGGTGTTGCTATGCAGTTTCTAAGGCGTTCTGACTGGTTGTCAGGACAATGCTATGAGGTTGCAGTTGGTTGCTAGGGTTTTTCTGTGTAGTTGCTAAGGTGTTCTATGTGGTTGCTAGAGCATTGCTATGAAGCTTCTAAGGCATTCCGGCTGGTTGTTAGGCCATTGTTATGTAGTAGCTAAGATGATATAGGTGGTTGATATTGTGTTGCTGTGCAGTTTCTAACATGTTCTGAGTGGTTCCTAGGGCTTTGTGTAGCCTATACTATAACTGATCAAATTGAGTGCTTTGTTGCTTGATTTTAGTGTTCTGTTTTTTTGTGATTGATTCTGTACCTTCAAATAAAACATTTTTTCAACTATTCTTAAAAAGATTGTTTAAAATAAACAAGAATTTTTAGTAAAATATGATGTGAGCTTATTGGGAACAGGGGTGTGCTTAAAGGGTACAAAAATGTACCCATTAAGCACAGCCAGACTTTTTGCATTTAATGATGTACATCTTAATTGAAATGCTTTTGTCATTTAAAATAAAATAAAATATTATTTTGTGAGAGATTAATATTTTTTTAAATTTAATTTTAACATAACTTCTTGTGCTGAAACTGATGTCTTGTGCACTAAAAATGTCTCAATGTAGATTTTGGTGAGCTTAATAGGTACGTTTACCCTAGTTGTTAAGATGTTCTAGGTGGTTACTAATGTGTTGCTATGCAGTTTCTAAGGTGTACTAGTTGCTATGGGGTTGCTAAAATGTTGCAATGCAGTTTCTAAGGTGTTCTGGGTGATTGCTAGAGTGTTGATATGCAGTTTCTAAGGAGTTCTAGTTGCTATGGGGTTGCTAGAGTGATGCTATGCAGTTTATAAAGTGGTTGCTAGGTCATCGCTGTGTAGAATGCTAGAATGTTCTAAGTGGTTGTTACTTTGTTGCTATGGTGTTCTGTAGCTCAAGCAGTAGAGCAGTAGTGAGTATTAGTGATGCCAAGGTCATGGGTTTGATTTCCAGGGAAATTAACTGATCAAATGTAATAGATTAATGTAATGTAGTTTTATATGGAAGGCAGATAGGGCAAAAATTTTTAAATGGAATGCATGAAGTTTGAAAGTGTCAACACACACTGTTCGTCTGAGCTAACACAGCAGTTTTGAACGTTAAGACGTCAGTTTTTTGCCACGTTTATATAGTACGTGTAAAAACGCAACATTTTACCACGTTAAGTCGAATTCTGGCTGTTCGAACGTGCAATACGTTTTAAAGCAGATTTGCCTCTAGATTTAGCCTCACATTGATAATTTCTTTAGTTTATTGTGGCATTGCTTCACTGATATCTATTGTGCTAGAATAAATTAATGTTACAATGTAAATTAAAAATGTTCTACCTGAAAAAGAATGTTAAACTAAACAGCTAAAAAGGACATGACACATCATGACACAAGACTGACATCACACACAATGTACCGATGCATTATCCTTCATGAACAAATATAACATCTGATGTTTGCATACGAGCATACCAGTGTGCACATCACATCACATATGCAATTATAGTCTCAAATACAGAAATTTAATTGGCTGCTGTGCATGTTGTCACGTTAATGTGGACAAACACTAGATGTTGACACGGTCAAATTTCACACGTTTTGTATAAAGACTTTTGGCCCCATCCACCTTCCATATCTTTAGACGTTGCTTGGGACTGTGTTTTGAGGTGGTTGCTAACTGCAACACATTAGAATCATACATGAGACATTTGCATGAACAAACACCACTGTTTTCTTCATAAAATATACAATTGTAGTTGCATTCTTCCACAGGTCACTCTGATAAACGTGTTTCTCTTTTGCAGGAGAACTTCATCAATCTCCCCGGTCTGCTGTTCTCCTGTAAGTACAGAGTCACCGTTCACATGCTCAGCGCTAAACGACGCTCCAAAGACGAGAGCATCAGCTTCCTGACGCCGTCCTGCGCGACTCTCCAGAGCAAGAGCGTCAAACCCATCGCCTGTCCCGGAGACACACGTAAGCACGGAGGCGCTTATCACTCATTAGGAGTGTTTGTTTTCAGACTAAACTTCATACAGGTCATACATTTAGCTTGAAATATGACATTTGAGGGATTAAAGTGAGGGAAAAAAAATCAGGTTTATTTAAGAGAATGTATTTTTCTTTTGTTACTATATTATAGCCTATTGTGGCTGCACATTACATTTACATTGTACCAGCAGTGTTATTTTAGTATCATTGATTTACTATTATAGTTTTTTAAATATTTTTCAATGTTTATTTTTCTATTTTCCAATTTCATTATAGTTTTAGTATGTTTATTGCATGTTTTTGTCATTTTTATTAAATATCTGTATCGTTTTTATAAATTTTTATTTCAGACTTAGTAATTTTAGTACTTCACACACACAAGTTCTGTTTTGTATTTTATAAATGATTTCATTTTATTTTAAGTTAACTTTTTAATAATTTTGTTGTTTTTGTCATTAGATTTTGTTTTTCTTTTAAATGTCTAATAGTTTTTTAGATTTTTTTTGTTTTATTAATTTTGTTGTGTTTTTGTCATTTTTAGTTTTTTTAAAATGTTTTTATAAATTTTTATTTCAGTTTTAGATTTAGTAATTTTAGTACTTCAACTAAATTTAGAAATGTTGCCTTAGCAACTAACTGAAACATTTACTGAAAAGCATACCTGAAGGTTTTTTTTTAATTTTAGTTCTGTTAACATTTATTTTTAGATAACATTTATAATTTGTCAATTTATGTAAATGTTCTTTTTTCCAGATCATTTTAGTTAACAGTAATTAAACTGAGATGGAGTGTTATTTTGAGCCCATACTAATAGTATTTTATTATCACTGATATACTATTATAGATTATATTAAAATGTAAATTAATTTTATAATTTCTGTTTTCCATTAGTTAAAGTTTTTGTTTTCACTTTTTTAAATCTTATTATTAGTTTTATTTGTAGTAAAGTTTTAGTTTTTTTCCCCCATTTTTTAAAAATGTATTATTAGTTTTATTTTCCCTTTTAATTTGAAAGTTTTTTTTATTTTTTTTATTTTGTTGCATGTTTTCACGTTTGTTATGTTTTTTTGTTAATATACCTATTTTATTCATTTTTATTTAAATTTAAATTTAGTTATTTTAAGTACAATCGACCTAAATGAAATGAAATTGAGAAATGTTGCCTTGGCAACTGACTGTAACAAAATAAGTTGTTTATATTTTATTTCAAGCACTGCAAAAGTTTTCAAAATGTGTTTAGTCTTAGTTAACAATAATAACCCTGGTACTAAGTGCTTAAAATGAAACCCTCAATAAATTGAATTCAGTGATTAGTTCCCATATTTTTCATAATATTTATGTATTTTTGTCATTACCCAGTATGTTTATAAAAATTGCTACGTCCTGAGTCTGACACCTCATTCCTGTAGTGGGATCCTGAAGTGTTTAGTGTAATTTTTGTGTGGTCTCCTGATGTATTTGATGTTTTTCTGAAACTCTCAGCGCTGGCGAAGGTTTTGGCGAAGCCTGAGAATCTGACGGCGTCCTTCAGCTTCCGCGACGGTAACGTGACGGCTCGTTTCCTCTGGAGGGTGTCGCGTTCGCAGCCGCTTCAGCCAGTCACGGGTTTCCAGGTCACGTGGGCGGAGGTTTCTAGTGCGAGCCGTCCGAACAGCCTTCCCAACAGCATCATTTCCCAGTCTCAGATCCTGCCACCTGTGAGTCGTCTCCACACACGCCGTTCTCTCGTGAAAGCTGCATAAATTACACTTACATTACGTGTTCTTGGCCCGCGCTTTCTCACCGGAGCGCCTCTCATGGAAAATCGGTTACATATTCAAGTCCAAGAGTGTAAAATATGATACACAATCATCTTGTGTGAATAACGCCAGCGCTGGCATCGGCCCACAGGATCCGGCTGATGAATCGAGCGCTGCATGAGGCACGGAGGCTGCTCCTTTAGTCACCTTTTACTGAGCAGACCTCATACTGTATCTGGATGCTTTCTGGATGAAGTAATGTTGAGTGGTATATCAAATGTTCACAATGTATTTGTATGGTTTTGTTGCCAATAAAAATATAACTTAATATGATATTAAGTAATAATATAATGCATACATAATATTTTTTATTTCTTTAGTGCATATAATTGTGTGACACACACAGATAAATAGATATAAATTTAACTACTATATAATAAAAAATTCTACATATAAATATTATATATAATTATTTATATTAATTCATATATAAAATGACATATGCTATATACTACATAAATTAAAATACTACATAGCAACATATAATTTATAGTTGACAATAGTTGTCAAATCCTCTTGTTCTGCATGTTCATTTGATTACCAGAAACACAGATTTTGTGTGGAAAAAAAATATATATTATTCATTATTATTATTTATTCATTTTAGATGTTTACTTTTGGAAATATATATTGGAATAATATTTACATAAAGAATATCGGCCGATATATCGATATCAGACTTTTTTTTTTTTTTACTTCCTAATATCGGCATCGGCCCCAAAAAACCCATATCGGTCGGGATTTCTAACATAATGCAATTATTTATATTACGTAGTATTACAGTTATTACAATACAATATTTAATATTTAAACTTTAAATATTACAGTAAATATAAAGCTGAAAAATATTGAGATATCATTTTCAGCTACATCACCCAATCCTAATGGGAAGGTTTATCTTGAAGTAAATAATTGATTAGTGTTCATGTGGTAGTTAATTTCTAACATAATACACTTATTTATATTACGTAGTATTACAGTTATAACAATACAATATTTAAACTTTAAATATTACGGTAAATATAAAGCTGAAAAATATTGAGATATCATTTTCAGCTACATCACCCAATCCTAATGGGAAGGTTTATCTTGAAGTAAATAATTGATTAGTGTTCATGTGGTAGTTATTAGTATGTTCTCAGTGATTGAGTGTCGTTTTGAGCTCATTCTTCATCTGACATCAGCGCTGTCAAACATCTAGCAGATCTTCTCCATCAATAACACTGGCTGCTCTCCTCGTAGAACAAACAGTTCAGCTTTAATCGACTCAATCAGATTGAAATACATCAAATCCAATTGCATCCAGTTCTCATCCGCACGATTCCTCAGATCCTTTCTGAAGGCCGGTTCGAGGCACGCCATCATTATCAGATTGGACTCGTGTGTGAATGATGTGGAATCTGTGGTGTTTATGGATGATTTCATTCTTCATAACGAGTAAATCTGAAGGATTTCCAATGAGCTCATGACAAACACGAAAATGAAGGCGCTGGATGATGCTTCATGCCAAAACATGTTGGAGAAACATGTGCTTCTTTCAGGAATAATCTGATCTGACCAGTCTGAAAAGAGAAAATGCATTGGATTATACAGAAATCACAACATAGTCATTTCATATATAAACCATTTTTGTTGCATTTCCATGAAAAGTGGCTGTATTATGAAGGATCTGATGAAAATGTATTTTGCTTTGTTTTCCCAGGATCGTAACCTTCTGGTCGTGTCCAACCTCCAGCTGGCCACTTTCTACAGGTTAGAGGTTCAGGTGATCACCGCGGCGGGAGAAGGACCTGCGACAAAGAAGATCTTCCAGACGCCGCTTCAGCAAAGTAAGCAAACATGATTCTGGAGATTAAAGCGGCGGCGTGAAACCGCGAGTGGTTTTGCTTCAGGACACAGATTTTACATTAAACATCAACTGAAGATCAATTGTTCAAAAGCAGTGTTGGGGGTAACGCATTACAAGTAACGTGAGTTACGTAATCGGATTACTTTTTAAAGTAACTAGAAGGAAATATGTGAGTTACTTTTTCAAATAAGTAACTCTAGTTACTTTGTTTCCATGTATTGACTGACAGCTCTGGTGTTGCCATGGTGACAGAAATCAGGAGTAAGTGCAGAGCGTTGTGTGTGAACATGATCTTACTGTAGCTCTAGACTAAATGAACATGTATTTACTCATCTCACCTGCACAAATTCAGATTCAGTGTTATTCAAAATGAATAAAAACAGTCAAATGCAGACACAGAATATTATACAAACCTGCATTAATTAAATATGTTAAATAAGACAAATATAATTTATGTACTTTGCTACTGACCTTCGATGGTCCAATTCAACCATACTAAGCAAAAATGACACATTTGTGTTTCATTTTTGTTATTGCTGAATAGTGTTGAACTTTCTTCTCCTGTGTCACATTCTACTGTACAGACGTGAATTTACATTTCCTTCAGCCTGAGG